ATTTCAGTCCAGTAGCACCTTAGCAGCTGGGATCTAGTTACTTTACTGCAGACCAACATGGCTACCCTCTGAAACTACTTTCTTGATTATGTTAGAATGTGGCAGCTTCTTATTGCTAGGGAGTTTTCTTTCCTGCCTTAAGCGCCTATGTGCAAAGAGTGAACCCAAACCTGTGCTCCATTTACTCCACCCAGCCCTACAGCTTTGCAAGTAACTTGGGAAGTTGAGCTGGGTAACCTCACTTCTTCCAGTTAACACATACTGTGAACATTTAAACTGAAATTCCCAATTGAGGAAAGCCGTGCGGCCTAGACTGAATACGCAAAACAGTGTAAGAGGGCCTGGTCAAGGAAAAGGGATCACAAGGGCTACACATGTGTAGCATGCCAGGTCGATCAGAGGAACTGGAAAATCCCTGTCAGGGGTGTTCACAAAGTTGATACTTCCAATATTTCAGCCATCCTTGTCTAACTAGGTTAGTGAATTTGATGGGGGGGGAAAGTGATCAATACTTGATCAAATACTATCAAATAATGGGGAAGTATTTTAAACCATTATTTAGAGCAACAGAGCTACACTAAACTTGTTTTTGTAATTCACGTAACTGTTATGAAACACTGTAATTAATTTAATGATATGGAATTATAATTTTTAACAATATTAACATTTCTGTATGAACAGTTTACTGTACAGCTCTTCTTGATGTTTATCTTGGAATACTACAGTTGGCCAACAGTTTGGAAGCTAAAAAATTAAAATGAAATAAAGAAACATAATAGCAACTTACAAAAACAAAAGCTTGTTTAGAGATGCCTCCAGTTCTAGTAGGTGGAAGCTTTGCTATGCAACTAAGTTTGTCCCAATGGTTATCAGACTAGACGCCACGTAGCCCTTGTGAAGTTAATACCTACAAACAATGTTGCCTTTATAGAACGTTTGGTTGAATATTGGCCTCTTTAACTGCAACCAGTTGACTGGTGTACCAGTCTGGTGTTCAGGGTCATTACCCTTGAGAATTGGTTTATGTCTATGAGAATGGAAAGGGAGAATGCACACTAATGTTATGAAGGCCAGTTGAGCATTCCTGGAAATGTTGCTTTTCTAGCCTACAAACATTTGAAGAATGCTTAAAATGCCTACCAGTTATCTGCTGCTTCTGTGTGAACAATAACTGGATAACTAGCAAACACTTTGGGACTTTGTTCTGATAGTGGTACCAGGTATGTCAGTGGGAGAAAGCAAATAATGAGGCTAAATAATGAGATAACCTTAACCTGAAGGGGCTTGGACTTTTGCCAGCCTCACCTGTACCACCCTGGCTTTAAAGACCAGTGGTCTCAAAGGCACGCACCAAAACGCTTCCCAAGCAGCAGCACACCTCAGGAGTTTCTGGTGCTTTTTAAAGAGCACAGGGAAATAAAGCTGAAGACAGGCCACTCCACTAGCAGAATAAAGCACAGCATGTGAGCATCCCCATGACAGGCCTAACAAGCCCCAATGACAAAGCAGAGGATGGACAGGTTTTTTTGCTCAGAGACAAGGTGACTGAACTGGAGGAGTTGTACATGGCAAGGGTAATTAAAAAGGGGATGGGGTATACTGGTTTTATATGCCAGTACTAGAAGCTGCCAAGCCAAGATAGGGGACCAGAAGTGTATAGTCCTAAAAGAAGACATTAATGTAGTAGGCAAATATGTGTTCAAATGACAACAAAAAAGAGGAAATTTTTAGATCTATTCAATGTTTGTATCCTAATCGTGGATCTGATTAGAGGGAGTGTGACCTTGGATTGGTAGCTCTGATCTGGCACAGGAATCAAAAGTGATCAAGTCACCTGGGAACAGTGACAGGGCTCTGAAACAACATGCGCATGAACAGTAAGTTGCTTGGAAAGTCTAAAGAAGGCCTCAGTTACCTTCAAAAGAGGCAACTTCTCAAATATGAGGGAATTAATTAAAATGGAATTGAAGGGAAGAGTCAGGAAGACCAAATTTCTTCAGTATGCTTAGAGATTATTTAAAATGCCTTCACCCTGGCCAAAGTCCATGTAATTTTGAATATGTTGTCATAATTGTGCACTGATTACCTTGTGTTCCATGGTATCTTTCCAGGCAAAGTTCCAGCTGTGAAGGACAGACTATTATATATTGTCCAGGGATGGCACACTGGACAAGCATCACCACCTGGCAGGCTTGGTTGGCTTTGATCCCATTCAATAAGGAAGAATGTTGAACCAATTGTGTGTGTGTGAGGGGGAGTTCTGTGAATCTGAAAGCCAGGTCACCTCACTGAATTGCAAAATGCTGTATAAAACAAAGTGAGCCAGGAGGAGTGCTGTATTTAATTGATTCCAAGCAGGACATTACTACTTCTTTACAGATCATTTTGGATTTTTGCATTGTTACTGCTGTAGATGGCTGGACATGTAACGAGAAAAGCATCAACATCTCAACCCCTCTGGTTATAAATAAGTACTCTGTAATTAAATGCCTATGATTTCTTATGGGTTGGAGGGAGAAGGGAGGGTGAGAACTGGAATTGGATTTTTTGCATTTTCTAGTTCTAATCATATTCTTAAACAAGAATTACTGAACAGTTCCTCATACCCCATTTCTTTTCCTTTGGACCTGGTGAATGTGACTTGACAATTCAGCTGTGGAGTTATTGAAAAATTTAGCACATAGATGCTGGCATGTGTGCACTCTCTGGAGTGGGAGAACTTCATCAGAATACTACAGTGTTGAAGTTGATTTTTCTGTGACCATTGTCCATTGTCCTCAATGTGTGATTTTTGGATGTGAGTGGGCATCCAACAGCCTGTAAACCTCATTAGGTTCCTGAAATAGTTCAAGAGTCCATAGTGTTTTCTTAGATTTTGCTTCTCCCTCCCTACTCTTCATTCACTCACCTTTTGAGTAAAAGCTAAGAAATAATATTTCATTTTTGCGACTGTCTGCCTTTGTGTGGCAACCCTAGGCTTCCTTGGTGGTCACCCATCCAAGTACTAAGCAGGGCTGACCTTGTTTAGCTTCTGAGATCTAACAAGATTGGGCTAGCCTGGGCTATCCAGGTCAGGAAAATACCATATATAGGCCTCAGCAAACCTGGTGGCCAAGGATGGTGGGCATTGCCTTTCAGCATATACTGCCCCCTCCATGTATTACATATCACTTGAGGGACATCTCTCATTTGTGCTGAACTTTGGTTTTGTGCTTCTTCTGCCCACCTCATAGCTTAACACAGAATATACACAGGGCCTGAAAGACCAAATTATTTCACCAGGCTTTCCACTAATGTAATTTTGGTGGGCTCTACTATCACCACTGTTGATTTTTTATGCCAAAAGCAAATTATGGTTTTATTATTGTTACTGCACTGTTACGTTGTTAGGTGGGATAAGAATCTAATAAAAAATAAATATGGGTCCTACTGTATCTGACACACACACACACCCCATCTCTGACTGAGTCTTTTAGGGGTTGATGGAAACCACAAAGCAATGCCTGGTTACTGAGCCAAGCCAAGTTTTGTGGACCCTTAATTGTGTAGGTCTTTGTGTTTATCATAAATAATTCAGTGACATGTTCCAAATTGGATGATGATTTCAGATAAACAAAAATCCAAGATGTGCAAAGCCTATCTTTGACTTTTGACATCTATACTACTGTTTTGTGTACACAACTATGGTAGGATGTTTTCCTTCCCTTAATCCTGTTCTAATCATACTGGCTGGTAAAAATTCAGTATAGTAAACTGTCTGGATTCAGGGTGCCTGAGTTTTCCTCAAGCATATATTTGTTTTATTTACAATATTATTTGCTTCTTTTATACCCCACTTTTCTCCCCAGTGGGGACTCAAAGGGACTCTTTTCTTTTTCTTTTTGTATTATGTGTGTGCATGTGTGTATGCTGGAAGTCATGGTTGACTTCTGGCGATCCCTACTGGGGTTTGTACATTTCAGCGAGGTGGCTTACTATTTCCTGCGTTTGGATCCCAGCCCTGGTATTCCTTGGAGGTCTCCGAGATCTGACTTGCCTGGGCTATCCATGCCAGGGCAGGACTCTTTTCTAAAGATTGACTCTCAGTAGTTGCACCCACTTCATCACCTTCCATGAGACCAGCTCTGTTGCTTTCTTCAGTTTTTCTTAGAACTACATTTTTAATTTTGGCAATCATTTATAGGTATTTTTGATTGCTGCTTTATATCTATTATTATGCTGATGTTCTGCTTTGCTTTTTAAACATATTTTGCTTCACTGTTTCTGTTTTAAGATAACATTAATGTGTTGGTTTATGTTTCCTGTTACATTGCTAGACTATGGTGGATTATGAATTCTAAAATAGGGATATGACTCAATTAAATAAACTTTGTTTTTAATCATAGTTTACTGATGTGATAAAAATTGTATGTGACTAAAACTACGTTTCTTTAGAATGATGCCATGGCAGCCACCATTTTAGAAGGGGCATTCCCTCCTCTGTGTGTGTATGAAAGAGAGCAAGGGGTGTACCTTATCTGGGGTTGGCAGGTACTACTGTAGTCTTCCACACACCCTATATATCAACCCAGTAATCATATAAAACAGATTGCATGGCTTGTTGTTAACCAGTTAATAACCTATTCATACTGTGTTTGTGTGCACCATACACTTATCCCATTATTTACATTTTATTTCCCATTGTTTTATTCAGGGAGCTCAAAGCAATGTATATGAACATTTATCCTAAATGGCTGGTCCAAGGGCTAAAAATGGCTGGTCCAAGGTCACACTTCTTTCTCTACCCCCTAAATAAAAAGGCCACTTTATTTATAACCAAGCATCAGTGGTGTTGTGCTCACGGCCCCAGGAATATGACGCACATACCCCTCTCTCTCAGCATCCCTGCCTCTTTGAACAGAGCAGCTTATACCTGCAGATTTTGTAAGAGTATCATTGGCCATCACTTCTTGCCATTCAGCGCTGATAACCATGTGTGTTGGTGTTTGTTTGTTTTGCAGCTCCAAGTCCCACCACAGCTGTGTCCTATCTGGCAAACAAATGTGTAGATGTAGAGAAGAACCATCAGAAGACCAAATGGTATTTGTCCTGGGGGTCCAATCCATGTGAAAAAATCAGGGACTTTGATGAAGCAGTGAGCAGGCAGATAGAAGCCAATGACATTGTGTTCTCCATTCATGCGCCTCATCCTCACAATGAGATGAGCCCTTGGTTCCAGTTCATGCTCTACGTTTTGCACGTGGACATTGCCTTCAAGATGGACAACCAAATTAGTAAGTAACTTGGTAATTTTTGCATGTACTGTATTAAATATAAGGAGTATAAATGAAAACCAAAAATTCTCATTTTATGTTGTCTTGCTCAGGTTATGTCTGTTGCAGCATTCCGTATGCCATATCCTAAATATCTGGTGCCATAAATATTCCGGCTGATCTAGCTGGCTGTTTAAGCTTTATAAAGGTATGGGAAGTTGCTAGAAACACAATCTAATCCAGTTATAATTCCTCGACCACATATTACTTCTAGTCAGAAATCTCATTCCATGCAACAAATGTAGGTTCAGCCACAGTGGTTTTGAGAGATTCACTTCTGGTATTTGCAGAAAATGTATGGAGGATGGGGAGAGGTGTCCTTGGGGTCACTGACTTTTAAAAATAAAACTGATTGCTAATATTTTTAAAAAGCTTATTCATGTTTTTCTGACTTTACCAATCACCAACAGCCCTTTTCTTTTTGTCTGGAGAACAAAAAGAATACAAAGGTGTGTTTTTTCCCAGTGATCAAGGAGACCTAAAGGGGAAAGTCATTTTGAGATCATTCTTGGCTCAATTATCCTGCCTTACTTTGAGCCATTTCTAGGCTGTGAATGAGAGTATAGATTGGCCCGACTCCAGGCCAGAATTCATTCTGGCAGATTTCCCAATTTCTGTAGGCTTTGTTAAACATCCTGCGCCTTTTTTTGTTTTATCGATAGCCCTTACTTAAATTTATGGTAGCATTAGGTAATAGTTGGCAGTCATCTCACTTCAGTTGCGTTCATCTGCATTCAGATCGGTTCTTCTTAGCCAATGAAATTTGCAAAGATTAGCATCCAACAATTGCCAGAGTTTTATTGGCACATTTAAAAATATTTATACTTCCCCTTTCCCCAATTTGAAGTGGCTTACAATTCATAATTAAAAACATTTAAGTGATAGTAAAGCCCCATTTTCTCCCCAACCTAATAAAATGCTTTCAGTTTACACTCTGTTAAAAGCACTGGTGAATAAAATGTTGAAGAAACGATAGCCTGCTAAGAGTCTAGTTACTTTAAATAATGCTGAAAGGGGGAGCTGTGGAGCATTCTATAGTATTTACAGTTTATTGAATGTTTTCTCTTGCAGTTCAGCCTACCTCTTGTTGTTTTTTCTCTTTTCCGCTGTGTATTTGTCCTTGTGCTTGTTGGATCCCCAAGCATCGAGAATAAATCCACGTTTTCAAGAAAAGCAAAATTTATTTCAAAGCGTTGAAGACATACTCAAACACGTTCTTTGTTAGAACTGGGGATACACAGTTAGGTCAAGCATAATAAAGGAACTTCAAACAGATACAGGTCCAATGAATAGCTTTCCCGCTGGCGGGCTAATGAAACAGTTGCGCGCCCAGTCTATGGGAACCAGGCAGAACATTAGACAAAACACAGGTGCAGTACTCATGGGAAAAGCAATAGCCAAGCATTACAGCATCTTCTCCCCCACACAACCTCCAGCAGTTATCTTTTGCATTCCAACGCAGGAGCAGGATGATAGAAACCAAGCCGGGTGCAACAGGGAAGGATATGTACACAGAGGTCACAGAAAACAGAATGGCAGCTTGCTGACATACTGCCCCCCTTAAAATACACTTACAACACACCTCCCGGGCCGGGCGGGAGATCTCCCGGGCTGGGCGGGAGACCTCCCGGTTTGTCCGGGAACCTTTTGTGGAAACTACGGATCAGGTAAGGGGCCCGAATATCCCCTTCTTCCACCCATTCGCGGTGCTGGGGACCGAAATCAACCCATTCGATAAGGTACCAGAGTTTACCACGTTTCACTTTACAATCAAGGATATCAGCGATCTCAAAATGTTCATCCCCTTCCAAAATGACAGGTGGAGGAGGAGTAACTGCTGGTCTCCAGGGAGACGGGCCAGGATCCTTCTTCAACAGGCTCATGTGAAAAACAGAATGCAGAGCACGTAAATTCTTAGGCAAAACAACATCAACCGCCACATCATTTATGACTTTACGCACTTTGAATGGACCTATGAACTTCCACCCCAATTTCCTGCTAGGCCGCAGCATCTTAATGTTCTTGGTCGAGACATACACAAGATCCCCAGGTTTCAGATCAAACCCCACCACCCTACCCTTGTCTGCCTGGGTCTTGTAAGCAGCCTTGGCTGCGTCAAGTGTTTGGCATAACAGAGGCCATGCTTTTTGCAAGGACATACACCAGGTATCAGCATCCCCCACAGGACGTTGGCCCATCCCCTCCAAGAAAGGGAGGGGGGGGCTGTCGTAACCAGAGACAGCTTTATAAGGAGACATGCCCGTGGAGCTATGGACAGTATTGTTATAACAATATTCAGCAAGAGGCAACAATTCACACCAATCATTCTGTTGATAATTAGTAAAACAACGAAGATATTGCTCCAGGGTCTGATTAACTCGTTCTGTTTGTCCGTCAGTCTCAGGATGATACGCGCTGCTGAGCCCTTGTTCCACCCCTAAAATGGAAAGAAGTTCCCTCCAAAACTTAGAAACAAATTGGGTCCCCCTGTCAGAAATTAATTTAGCAGGTAATTGATGAATTTTCACCACGTGAGACATAAACGATTTCGCCAACCTCTGAGCTGTAGGCAAGGAAGGAAAAGGCACAAAATGAGCTTGCTTAGAAAATAAATCAACAACCACCCAAATAACAGTGTTCCCTTTGCTCGCAGGGAGGTCAGTAATAAAGTCCATGGACACCACTTCCCACGGTCTCGATGGGGTAGGGAGTGGCTGCAGAAGACCAGGAGGCTTGCCCACTCTGGGTTTAGTCAAGGCACAGGTTTGGCAGGACCGAACAAAAGTCAAGAGGTCTTTGCGCATCTGTGGCCACCAGAACTGTCTGCGGATGAGTTGCAGAGATTTAACAAAACTCCAATGCCCTGCCAGTTTCGAACCGTGAGCAGACTCCATCACCTCCCTCCTCATTGAAATAGGCACATACAGTTTGTCTCCAGAATAAATCAGACCTTCAGGGCTACGGACACAATCTGGCAACGCTTTCAGGGAGGCATCATCATCAGCAGTAAAAGCAGACATATATTTCTGGACCCAGCCCCCCCCCCC